AGGCAGGGCCACGCAGCGCGATGACAAGTGCCGCTGCTTTGTCCTGGTCGGACCATCCGTTGGCAGCGGCGGCTGCTTCAAACTGACGGTGGTACATTGTCCATGTCGTTTGTCCATCGTAGGTCGGGGCCTTAAGGTTCGCTGTTCCTTGAACGCCAGGTGTCTTTACTTGTACCTTGGTCTTCTGTAGGTCCATCTCCAATTTCTCCATTTTCTGCTGAAGGCGTTCCTCCAGATCTTCTACGGCTTCTTGAAGGTGGATTTCTTGCTTTTCTAAAGTTTTCTTAAGACGGTCCTGATCTTCTTGTCTTTCTTTCTGGCGGCGTTTCTATATCTTCTAAAATTTCCCTCCATTCATTCTTCTGACGAATTTCTAAATTGCCTAAAATTTTCTCAAGCCGGTCCTGTTCTTCTTCTTTGTCTTGTTGTCGTTGAATTTTCAAATCTTCGAAAATTTTGTCTTGATTTTCCAGAATTTTCAGTAGGCGGTCTTGTTCTTCTGCTTTCTCTTTTCGCAGCTTCTCTTGTTCTTCTGCCTTTTCTCTTCTCATATTCTCCATAAAATCGCCTAATAGTTTGCTTACTTCCTCCATTTTCTTCGCTTGTTCCCTTGTACCAACCATAAAAATACTCTAATCCGGTCCAAAAATCTTCCAATCCACTTAATTTCTTCTTAAAATCTTCTTGAATCGCACTTCCGACACCAATTGTTACGGATTCCGTGGGTCCACTAATTTAAACTCACGATAAAATACTTAACGAATTTATTTTTCTCACTTTATACACAATTACTAACTTATAACACACAACAAACTAACTATTTATAAGATTCCTTCACCAAATTGTCCGATTTTCAATTTCCACGCGGTATATTCAAATTTCAAAAACTGTCTCAGTTGTCGATGGCTCCGGCTTATATACTCTATTGACTGCTTCTCGAAATTTCCCCAATTCTCGGAAAGCGTACTTCTTATACCAGACAATTCCATTGTCTGATTCCCTTACTTCTCGACTTGACTAAAAGATGGCGCCTGAAAAAGTCTTTTAATTTCTGGCGGATACGCCATTTTTCTTGACACGTTGCGGTTGTGCACGCAACCAGTAATACATTTTTAATTTCTGGCGGATACGCCATTTTTCTTGACACGTTGCGGTTGTGCAGGCAACCAGTAATACATTTTAGCCCTTGACCTTGACAATATGTTTCTTTTATCGAGATCTGCCACCCTTTAAAATACTTGCACTTATTTCTGGGATACCCTGTTTATAACAATACACGTGATGCGTATACGCAAAGTTGCGAACGAAGTCAAGAATAGGTACCCAGATTGGCGCTGACTACCAGTAAGCGGCAAACCTGCTTGCACTGTGTTCGCACACTATGATTTCGCACGTAATTGAATATTAAGTAACGATTTCTGGGAATTAGTCCCAAAAGGTAGGAAAAATGAAGGTGAATGTATTAGGCATAAAAAAAATAAAATCTGACCTAAATTTTAAAATCTATTCTAGGAGTATGAAATTTGGCATAGATGTCCCTTTTAAGTAACGAAAGTGAGTATTCAAAAGCCATTTTTTGAAATTCATCTTAACCCTTAAGTACTAACATATTGAAATAGTCGCGCATATACTAACAGATCGTCTGAGACGCATTAAAAAATACATATTTTGTTTGTGTCTAACAGATTTTTTGTAAGTGGAGTGAATCATTAGCATTAAAACTACAGGAAAGAAATATCTAATGCTTATATTATGCAAACATGTTTTATATTTTTGAAATAAAATTACTAGTTTTGTATTTTTGACATATCTTTGTTTCTCATCGAGACAGAAAAAAAACGAAAGGAAAATGAAAAAATATATTTATTATTATATTTAGCCTACAAAAACCTAGCTACTAAGCACAAAAAGCAAAAGAAAATATAAAGAATAAAAAATTGGCAATGCCTAAAGATGGGCTTGTTCCCTACACACTTTTTTTGTGCATTCCAAATAAATCATCTATAACAAAACATACACAGCTACATACCATCAGATGTTAGTTAAAAATATTTTTTTTACCTTCTAATTCGAATTCAGAATCATGATCGCTCTCTATAGCAAAATTTTCGCCTCATTCGGATTTTATGTCACTATTTTGCTCTTATCGCTGCCAGTCTCTTCAAACCACTTTAGAAGAGTATCCTCGTAATTTTGCTCGCCATACTTCACATGTTTTGAGCTACTAGGTTCTTTCCACAAATTAAGGGTTACAGAGAATTTGTTAAACGGTTCAAAAAGTATGAAATTTTGTACAGAGGTCCTTTAGGCGAGTAATAAGAAAATCGATTTTTGGAAATTCGTCCCTTAAGAGGGTTAAATTAGTGTTTAAAATCTGTACAAATTTTTAAGTCGCTTCTGTTCTTCTGTCAATCCTGCGATATTTTCGCCATATTGGCAGGAGTGGCACCTCAATGGAGAGATTGATGGTGGAGGGGAATGTAGAAGTAAAGTAAAAGTAAAGATTTCAGTTAACGTCTCATTTTTGCTGCCAGGGCTAATCTGGACGGGCCTAATTTGTTTACGCGGAATTCGAACCGCGGTCCTCGGCCATATCATGGTCAGTGGCCTACCGACTTAGAAAGTGTCTAAATTAACTCTTACTCACGAGATATCCGATCTCATCCGGTCACGAACCGGTGTGAATGAGCAGTGTATATTAATAGATTTTACACTTTTCCCTTGGACAACAGCACGATAGAGAGTTTCGAACCGGTCACCCGTCCATCCACCAGTATCGCCTTCCGTCGCTTAACTTCGGTGTTCTAATGGGAACCGGTGTTTCAACGTAGCTAGGCCGTTGCCGGGGAAGGTAGAGGGAAGACGATCACGTGGAAGGTCACATAAGATTCCTGAAGATGCAAATAAATTTTGTGAAACGTAGACTAATTTAAAACTAAGGACTTCTGTTGTGTTTTTTTTTCGGTGCTAACACAATTAAAAAAACACTGTATAAATTATTTTAGATAGAAACAAAAGAAATTAGTAAAAATATAAGTTGGGTCGTTATTCAAATCTTCAATTTGAAACATAAATGTGTTATCCCATTTTTCAGTTTACGTTTCCTAATTAAAATTGATACAAAAAAAAAACTCGAAAAAGACGAGGCCTAATTTTCGACGCCGCGCCGTGGAAAAATCCCTTATCCCTGGAAAATTAAACGGCGTTCCAATGAAAATAATTTCGAATGGAAGGCCAATTTCCTCAGACTATTCAATTGCCATTTTCTCGAGTAACGAATGCCTTTTTACTCTGTTTTTATAGAAAACCGTTTTAGATCGGAGAGAGAAGATAGGGCGCTCAGAGGCGGGCAAGAAGATCTCGAAAATGTTTTTATAGCCGGCGAAAATCCCATTGAAATTTACCTTCAAAGGGAAATTTAGCAGATTTTTTTCTTTTTTCTTCGTCTGAGTTTTGTTACATTACCGGCTTTACTGAGGAAAGTTCTCGTGTTTATCAATCCCTCTAAAAAGAAAGGAACAAAAGGATGAAGACAGTAGTATTTCTGCTACTATCTTTATTTCGTTTATTACAGCATTTATGATAATATTTTATTAAAAATATACATTATTGTATTGCTAAAAATTGAGCTAACTAAACGACTTTTGAATAAGAACTGGAAGTTATTGGGTTGCATGACAATGAAGGAAGGATATTGCTGAAGAAATGCATAATTTCGGATTGCATTGACAATGAAGTATTGATACGTAAAATTCCATTTGCTGTTCCAAAATTCAATATTCCAGATATAACAAAATCAGAAACAAAATAACTAGTTTTGTGGTGAAAACATACCTAGAGACCAAATACAAAAATCAAACCATATAAGAAATAAAAAAAATGTAAATGAACTTAAAGAGAAAAATAATTTGTCTATGGTTTGACTGAAGAGTGTGAGTTAGACACAAATTGGAGAGAACACACCTAACAAATGGGCAATGGAATCAAAGGAGACAAAATGACGACTTCAGTGAAACAGAGAATTACAATGTGGAGTTGAAAATGAAACTTAGTGATGCTGCAAAACATTTATTACAATGTATGTTCTGAGTCGACAAAAACGATGTTTCTGCGCAAATTATTTTACTTTGAAAGGAGTAAAAGAGAAGGCTGTTAAGGCAGCAGAATCAACAGTATACAGATAAAAATCGATTCATTTTTTTTTAAACTTTTAAATTAAATATTCATTTCACATTTGTTTACAAATTTATGTAAGTATTTAGTGTGTATTAAGGCGCATTTGTACTTAATATGCATATTGTAGTAAATAGTAAGTGAGATATCTTAAGGGTGCATATAGGTAAAATAAGTACAATAAAGTTTTAATATGTTTTATAAAGTGTTTAGCGTTTTAGTTTAAATAAAATTGTGTTTTAATTTTTGTTTTACGTTAGAAACAATAAAAGTATTAAACAATAAGATTATAAAAGGATTTCTACAGTAATCCGGATACCCTTCATTAACTCCGTAGTAGCTGATCCGATATGTGTCGCAAAAAATTTTTTTTTTCACTTAGACATCCAAAAGTATACATAAAAATTACAAGTGAATAAGTAATAGTAGTTAAATTATAAAAACGTAAATATTCCGTATAATACCAAATGCTGTAAAACATTTATTACTATATTTATGCTATATTCCAAATTTATTACTGAGTTTCAGCTAAAGTTCATTAAAGATGACATTTGAGGGGTTCAGATGTAAACTGAATCAAGTTATAAAAGGAGAAAATGAGAGTTAAAGTTTTTAATGTTACTTAAAATTAAACAAGTTGGATAAACAGACTATAGCTGCTTAATGCGAGAAGGATGACTTGATACATTCCTCCGCTGGAAATTGGACTTGAACAATTTTAATTCTGACCACTCCATTTGTGATCCTATATAAAAATAGTAATATAGTAACCATTTAGTTACTATATAACTGTGCGACATATTTATGTTGCGAGAAATTAAACATACCTTTTGTATGAATTCCTATGGGGTGAGGGTATATCTTTAGCGATGGACCGGTTCAACACTTCTGCACAATGTTATCCAGTCAAACTGATACCATCCAGTAATTTGACACTTTTGAATATATCATCTGTGTATGAAGAATGGTACTTGATAGCATCATTGACTGGTTGCAATTGATTTTCTGCAAAAAGAAGGTATTTTTATAATTAAACATAGCAAAAATATTATCAGAACGACTTATTTACTTATTGGAAAGGAAAACATTGTTTATCAGACATAGTTATATAAATTGTATGTTCCGGGGCGGATACAGAAATTTATTTTAGGGAGGGGGGGGCAAACAAAAAGAAATGTAGAATATGCTTTTTAGGGCACCATTTTTAACCCAAAAGTCTAATATTTAACACAATTTATAGATTTTAAGGGGGGATGGCTATACCTCATGGCCCCCCTCTGTATCCGCCGCTGGGTATGTTGAATATTATGTAAGGTTTAACATCTTTTTCCTTCCTGATTTCAAAAAAGTTGTATTATTTATACCTTGACGATTATTTTCAACTACTTAGTTGGGGCTAAACGGTTCTCTGAAAAAAAGTCTGATTTCTCGATACATATATTAAAATATCAAAACTTTTCCACTAGGGTATTTATGACAACAAATTGACAAAACATCTTTGACCACATAAACTAGGAAAATATTCTTAAAAAAACTTAAATCTAATTATTTCCAAATTTTCACACTTTTTTGTCGAATTCGAGCTTGGAATTCCACCTGTAATATAAGTTTTTCTGAGCTGAAAAAAAGATGAACTAGACAATTTTTTTTGTTTTAATCTATTAGTACATGTTTTAAAATGACTAATTCGTAGCGAAATAATATAAACAGCTCGTACGTTTCTTACATGTGTATATTGCACTCATAAATGTATATATACGACTTAACTCAAATTCCGTTACCTTTTTCTCTTCATAGAGTTCCGTCTGAGACTAACGAAAATATTTTCGGAAACTGACATTAAAAATATTTAGTTTACGACTAGAGATGTTTCCTGTATCTATAAGGCTGGGGACACACGAGGCCGCTTATAAGCTGCGGCGCCGGCGGACTTTCTCCCTAGCCGTCTTCGGCGGCCGCCATTTGTTTTGTACCATTGAAGTCCCATTGAAGAGCCTACGCAGCCGGCACAACTCGCGGCGCACAGTGCATTAGATGGTCATTCTAGCGGGAGAACAATCTCCTATTTATTTATTTATTAATACATTAAGTTGTTAATAAATAAATGAATTTAACTCCATGGTTACTATATATTAGACCATTTGCTATGTTCTTAGATTTTATTTAAATCTCAAACATCGCTACTGATGTTTTGTCCCACTAGACTTACTATCCGCCTCAGTGTTCCGCGCCGCTTCGACGAAAAGCCGCCTCGTGTGTTCTCGCCCTAAGAAGCCCTCTGCTAAAATTCCGGTTTTATAAAGGAAAATAGATAATATCATTCCAATGCAATAAAACTGTGGAAGAACTTTCTTACCTTCTGTTTTTTGGATCTTATAGAATACTACAATTAACCATTATTAGAAATAGAAATATAGTTACTTGTTCTTTACTGCTGATCGATAAAAATTAATTTATTCCTCTTTTTTGTTAATTACAGTTGGAGGTTAGAATCTTTGGTGTTACAACCACAAAATAAAACACTTATTCACCACAAATACATCAAAACGCTTTACTCTTGTATTGGACTCGGTAACCATGTTAGCATCATCAGCAGATGATTAAAACTAAGTTTTTCTAACTGAGAGGTTTAATCATCTGCTGGTGATGCTAATCTTGCTAATTAAACGCGCGTCTAGTGCAAAAATATAGTGTTTTAGTGTATTGTGGTAAATTAGTGTTTTACTTTGATTATATTAATTGCTTGCATTATTGATACATAGGCTTAAATTTTTAATGCTACAAACGTACCTATTAGTTACCATCTCTAATCTCTATCTGTAGGTCCATTTTAAATGTGAAACATTGACGACACGCATCAAAAGTAGATCATCAACGCTTTATATAGAGTTCGGCATTGTAAGAATAAAAATAACACGATAAGAAAATTGTTCTTAGAATTTGAAAGGATAGTAAAAACTATCAAACAATGGCGGAAAAATATCACGGTCTGTAATTCTGAGGGAAAAGAAAAATAAATAAGTAAAATCATGCCAAAATATTTTAATAGTAGTATTGCTTCTAATTAAAATTTAAACATTACATTATTCAGTAGTAATAAAATTATATAAGGATTCTTGCCACTTAACTGCTGATATAGAAATTTAATTCTACGCTGTGTTTGCCATAATGTGGATCAACCTGCTCTCACTACTGGTTTTGGAGCCCTACTCCATCATCAGGTGAGCATGGGCAGATCCACAAAATGACAACCACAGCGCAGAGATAGTTAATTCCGACTTGTCGGAATGTGTCGGTTAGATATTAAGTCCCGAACGGGAGATAGCGGCCTGCGTGCAATGGTAGTACTTTCGTACCACCGAGGCGCAACTATCGATAATAAAGGATGGTAAGAGACTTTTTTTCAGGCAAGCCAAATTATAAAATAGAAATCAAATTTCTTGCAGTATAGGTATATAATAAAATTATATAAGGATTCTTGCCACTTAACTGCTGATATAGAAATTTAATTCTACGCTGTGTTTGCCATAATGTGGATCAACCTGCTCTCACTACCGGTTTCGGAGTCCTACTCCATCATCAGGTGAGCTTGGGCAGATCCACAAAATGACAACCACAGCGCAGAGATAGTTAATTCCAACTTGTCGAAATGTGTCGGTTAGATATTAAGTCCCGAACGGGAGATAGCGGCCTGCGTGCAATGGTAGTACTTTCGTACCACCGAGGCGCAACTATCGATAATAAAGGATGGTAACAGGCTTTTTTTCAGGCAAGCCAAATTATAAAATAGAAAACAAATTTCTTGCAGTATAGGTATATAATAAAATTATATAAGGATTCTTGCCACTTAACTGCTTATATACACAATGTGGCCAATATAGACAATGACAACCACAGCGCAGAGATAGTTAATTCCGACTTGTCGGAATGTGTTGGTTAGATATTAAGTCCCGAACGGGAGATAGCGGCAAGTCGGAATTAACTATCTCTGCGCTGTGGTTGTCACTTTGTGGATCTGCCCAAGCTCACCTGATGATGGAGTAGGGCTCCGAAACCGGTAGTGAGAGCAGGTTGATCCACATTATGGCAAACACAGCGTAGAATTAAATTTCTATATCAGCAGTTAAGTGGCAAGAATCCTTATATAATTTTATTATATACCTATACTGCAAGAAATTTGTTTTCTATTTTATTATTCAGTAGTTAACAAGATAATTTATTATTATTAGCTGGGGTACAAGATATACTCATAATTAAATAGCAAGTAACAACTGATTTATCTTTTTCTTAGCTTAAGGATTGCGTATTTACTTGAGTTTTCCATTAACTTGTTAATATGGCTCAAACGAAATGAGCGATAATGAACGTTTAGCATCAAAGCCATCCACTTGCTAATGCAACATTATACAGTGCGTTGCACATTATAATTTGCGTTGCCAAGTCATTTGATTGCCCAGTTGAAATACGTTCCACTAATCTGATTAAAATGAACTGATAATAAATATAGGGTGTTAACTGGCGGAAAAATATAAAAATATATATGCCTAAGAGGAACTATGATATACGGATATACGTTAAACGGGAACAAACTATTAATTTGGCGTATTCAAAAATACCAATAAACAAAGTATTTCAAATTAGATTCTTAAAGCTTTTTTGGTCTTTCGTTAGAAGAAAACTGTCAATAAATTTGTCGTCTGATAACAATCTGTCAGAATGCAAACGGTCTTGTAAAGCCGGGTCCAGACCAAGCAGACAAAACAGTGACAAGACAAGAACATTCAAGTATTACGACAAAGTTGCGACAAATCCAATACATTTCTGCCACATTTTTATCTCATTTTTGTTTTGTTTCCAAATTCGGAGACTTCTGAATGTCCCGTCTCGAGTCGGTAAAGTTCAAAGAGTCTCTGTCTTGTCGTGTATTTTACGACAAGTTGTCGGCGTAGTGTGGATGTCGTGCGTTGCCAAAAGTAGGAAACCAATAAAATCGCACAAATTTAGTACTGTGGAGTGCTGGTACTGCTAATATATGACATTAGTATATGGCGGAGTGCTCCATCTTTATATAAAAATGCTAGAAAAGAGAAAATGGAACACGGAAAATGCCTGCAAACTAATAGAGCGCATTTATTATTATGGGAGGGTTAAAACAATAAGGACTGCAAAAATTGTTACAAGAGAGCTGGTGCATTAGAGGATATTTGTTTAGCATAAATATAAACTCGGTTTATGATGTTAAGAAATTAAGAAGTATTAATAGCAATATAATTTTCGTAAATAAAAACATTTGAGGTTTCTTTTTGCAACATGGGATATACTGAACTTTGTTGTACTTTTTTCCTCGCGGTATAGACACTTTGTGTGAAATTTGTCTTGTCTGAATTTCTCATTTTTGTCGCAGATTTGTCTTGTTTTTGTCTCAAAATGTGTTCACTTTCTGTCGCCTTGGTCTGGATGGACAAGCCAATTTGTACAATAATAAAAATAGAAATAATGAAAAACACAATAAACATACAACATACAGTAACGCCACAGCGCCAATATAAAGTAAGTTCAATTATACAGAGTACCCATACATAAAACCCAGACAAAGTGTCATCTAAAATAGTTTGTGTTTATATTATAACGATAAATATCAGAGAATACATTCATCAGTGATTAAAAACCAATGTCAGTTCGCTTAGCCAATTCATTTGCTGTCACCGAAAAGTGTGTTAAAGAGGACAGTGAACCATAATTAATTCTGTGAAAAGAAGTTCTTCATCTATTTATATTCCTCTTCTATCATTAAGAGGTATCTGATTAATCGATTTAAGCATTTTTTCATATACCAACAATGTCCTCCCTTTAAATACCTCCTATCCTGAAACTTACAAACCTCACAAGCTACTTCTATACTCTTTCCATTTCTTGAGTATGTGTAGGTATCAAATAAATATGGATGATAAACACTAACTTCAACTATTCTATTTTAGAATTTTACAAAATCTTTTTGTTTAAGA